AATCCACCCCCCATGGTGAGACCGTTCACCCGCAACGCCCCCGTCCCAGAAGCTTCATGTCAACGAGCCCTCGGATTCATTCTGGGAGGCTTCAGGAGAATATGCCCTGTAACACCAGCCCACCGCGACCCGTAGCTTGTCCCGCGCGGCCGCCGCCACCCCGGCCACGGCCCTCTGCACCGCCGTGGAGGAGAAGTAGAAGATGAGCGGGTCAAGAGCGGCGTTGAGGCTGGTGAGGAGCAAAACGTAGACCCTCCACCCCGGGCTCCTCTTCTCCACGAAGCCCACCAGGTGCGAGATGTTGTAGGGCATGAAGCAGACCCCAAAGTTGACCATGGTGGCCACGGCCAAGCCCACGGCCCGTTGCTTCTTCTCCAGTGGGATATTTGGCCAGGCGAGGAGAGCCTGCACGAAGTTAATGTAGCAGAAGATGGTGACGGTGAAGGGCAGGAGGAAGAGGACGAGGAAGAGCTCCAGGCGCAGCGGGAGGACGAAGCTCAGCTGGTCCCCGGTGAAGTCGTCGTAGCACTTGTAGGCGGTGGTGGCGTTGGAGCCATCAGGGACGCTGGGAGGGGACGAACTGGGGATGTCGGAGGTCTGGGAGGCATCGCTGGGGCTGGAGCTGTCCTGGATGTCGGCGCTGTTGGGGGTGGCGATTTTGGAGAGGGGGCTGCTGGGCTTGGCGATCCTGGAGCCCCCGCGGGTGGAGGTGGCACCGTGGGTAGTCTCGGAGTCGCCACGGTCGGAGATCTTGAAGACCCGGGGATGGATGACGTTGGGGCTGGAGGTCTCAGAACTGCCGGGGTTGAAGTCGTCAGCGGCGGAGATCTTAGAGCTATTGCGGGTGAAGCCGTCAGCGACGGAGTATCCAGGGTTGGAGATGCTGAAGCCGTTGGAGTTGAAGCCATCAGGACCGGTGACGGTCAAGTTGTTGGGGTCAAAGCCGTCGGGGTTAGACATCTTGGGGCCATCGGAGCTGATGACCACGGCCCTGTTGGCCGCGGGCTGGTTCCTACCACCGTGATACTGGGCCACGAAGACGATGGAGCAATGGGAACAGGCCAAGAGCCAGAGGACGACGCTGGCGGCTATCGCCCACCGCGGTCTCCTCCGGTCCTTGTATTGGAGGGGGAAGACGACGCCAAGATACCGCTCGACGCTGAGGGCTGTCAGGAAGAGGCTGCTGAGATAGATGCTGGAGTAGAAGCAGAAGTTGGCCACCGGGCAGAGGAAAACCGGTAAGGGCCAGGTCATGTCAGTGGCTGCTTCAACCATCTTGAACGGGAGGAAGAGGAGGAGGAGAAGGTCGGCAGCCGTCAGGTTGAGGAGAAGGATGTCGGAGGAGGAGACGCGCCGACGGGCCTTGCCCAAGAGGGCGGCGAAGGTGAAGACGTTGGCCGGGAAGCCCACAAGGAAGGTCAGGATGTAGACAGAGAGGACCAGCATGGTTGGAGGACAACCCTGGGGAGATACGTGGACCCGTAAGAGGGTTGGAGGAGGTGGGGTGGGGTGGGGGGTGGTGGCTGTGGGTGCTGGGTGCTGGGTGGGTGGGTGCTGGGTGCTGTGGGTCCTACCCGCAGAGGAACCCACCTGGAGAGGAACCCAAATACCCCGGGAGGAACCCAGATATCTCAGGAGGCTTCTCCTGATCCAACCACCGGACCAAGAGGGGGGATTTGGAGAAGACCCAGGCGTCTGGGTGGGTGGT